GATCTTGGTGCCTTTGAGTCCGCGTGCAGACTCGAGTGTCACTTGCAGCACTCCGATCGCCGTATCGAGAGGCGCGCCCGAAAGCAGTTGCTCCAAGTTTAGAGTGAACACATTGGGATCATACATTATAGGAGCGAGCGTTCCATGCGTCATGTCGCGAATGAACGACGACAACCCAGGCATCTGCGTCATTCTGAGTCAGAAACATGGGAAAAAATGCAATCTGCCAGGCACCAATGCCAAGGGAAGGGCACACGCGGGGACAACGGGGAAAAAAGACATACATGGCCGATGTCGAACCCGAACGTCTCGCCGCCTAGAGGTTTGAGGACGTAGTCGATCACAGGTTTCTCGAGGAAGCAAATGTCGACGATTTGAACGTGCGGGAAGTTGGACATCAGCTTCATACGGATCCTCATGAGGCCGCTGAACGTGATATCTTCGACCAGGATAGGCATGGAGGCGGTGGCGAGGCCTTTACCGACGCGAACAGAGAGGACGATTTTCGGGTTGACTTTGTTTGCAGCTTGCCGCGGCGTGAGGTCAGAAATATCGTTGGGAGTGAAGGAGATGCCCCAGTCCATCATGATAATATCGTCGGGAGTTTTTGGGAACGTCCGGACTTTGTCGATGCGAGGAGCCTTGGTACCCTGCGACAAAATTAGCCAGGGATGCATCTATGATGAAGTATACTTAAAAGAGTAAATTGAGTCAAACGAAGAGAATCAAGGAATGCTGGGGTGTTGGTGCTGAGAATTTGGTCGACGGACGAAATGATGGTGGCGGAAAGGACGGGCTCGTAGATGAGCCAGAAACGATCGAGGAAATTATTTATCCAGTCCGCGGTCTCGTGTTCAGATATAAGACGAGTTTTGACGAGTTCACGCTGAATATCGTCGCGCGAGCGGCGAAGGACGCGTTCCATAGACGTGCTGTAGTATGTATTGCAAATGGCCAAGATGATGAAGAGCCATCCCCAACCGAAGTGGAAGCGAGTCAAGAAATGTGAAGCGAACACAGCCTAAAATGCGGGTAAGATTTAGAAAAGTAAGAGAGAAATCGCATTCATACGAAGACAATGATGGCAGCGTTGTGGTACCAAGAACCATAGAACTGCTCTGCAAGGAACAAGTCGAGGACACCCTTGTCCTTTTCTTCGCCCTCGGTGAGGGGTTCATCAATGCCGGATGCATGGCGCCAGCCGACTTTGTACCAATCTGGAATGGCACCTGAAGAGGCCACGATGGAACCAGGCGGCTGTGGAGTGTCGTCGTGGTCCTCATTAGCATCCGCGAGATGTCCACCGTCGATATCTTCTATGGTGATCGTGGGGACCACGTTGGAATGGCCAGTTTCGACTGAGAGTTCTGGAAAAGAGATGGGTGCTGTGCGAGACACATGGAAAGAGCGAGCCGGATACCTCGTGCACCTGGACCAGAGTCCTCTTTCACGCTCTTGAGCTGGTCTCTGGCCTTGCCTGCAGCCGCGCCTTTTTCTGAGGGTTTTGCTTCTGGGTCAAACGAATGGACGGCGACGCGACCATTGGTCTCCATTGCAGCGTCGACCGCTTTTTGGGGGTCGCCGTTGGAAATGGTGGCCATTCGAGCGGGGAGTAAAATGGTGTAAGGGCTAGGCGAAGGCACTGATGCTATACTTATATATGCCTGCGCACCATGACGTACCGCGAGAATAGAACAATAATTATTTCGATACGTAATTATTGGCAATAAAAAAGGCACCGAGTAAGTACACAGACACTGAGACAGTGCAGCACTCGAGACCCAATTGTTATCATAAGGCTGTTGGCTACACCGCACCAGCGCAGCAACGGCGCAGCAAGTCCTTTTTTTAAATAAATACAAAATAAACTTTTGATGCAGTGATTAATGTCATCTGTTTGGCAACGGCGTCTCGTCTTAATGCTACTGCTATGAGCTCTTCCTCTGCCTCTCTTCGCGGCCTCTACAGTGACCCTTCTTCTGCCTGGTCATTTGTCCCACCAAACCCCCCGCCAGCGTCAAATTCCACTCTCCCACATCCTGCCGCTTCGTCTGCGTATCAATGGTCCTCTCGGCCGGCACACAACTCAATATTTGACCTCTCCCCACAACTCGCCGACCCGTCAGATGGAATCGACCCCATAAATCTCCTCAAGACCTTGGCTGCATCCGCAATATTGCAGTACACAAGTACCGCTATTGCAATGCCTTGGGAGGTCGGCAAGCTGCTGCTTCAGGTTCAATGGGTTCCGCGAGATGCAGGTGAACCCGATGTCTCGGAAGTCCCAGAGGACGATGACGACGACGACGCTGTTTGTAGACTTTTGTGACGCGTTTATTTTGGCTGCTCATTCTGTTCTCTCAGTTAAGCGACTCGTCCAACGATGACTCGTACTTTGCTGACCCCAATGCCACTCCGCATGCCGGTTTCTCCACAATACGACAAGCTGAAGAGCCTGTCCGCCGCTCTGTACTCGAGGAAGGCACTCGTCCAGAGTATATAATTCCCGCCGGCAGCGCTAATGGCGTCTGGGGCATGATGCGACGGGTAGGCCGTTTCCGCGGCGAGGGATGGTTGGCTTTGTGGAAAGGTATAGCACCCATTTATGCTTGTTGTCTTTTACCCACCGTTTTCGGCATTCAGGGCTACTAACGTCCTGCATAACCGAAATTCTCTCATCGACCTTTCAGCCTATGGTCCGTGGTGTCCTCCAGGCACTCCTTCTGCCAACAACCGCCGTCTTCTACCACCCCCCAATGTTCCTCCCTATTCTGTCCCATCTCATCATGGGCTTTATTCTCTCTCCTCTTGATCTAATACGCACTCGTTTGATCGTGCAATCATTCTCCTCCCGCCACCGCGTCTACAGCGGTCCCTTCGACGCGCTCTCCCGCATCCTCCGCGAGGAGGGCGGCCTAAAGGGCATCTACCTTCACCCGCACCTCCTCATCCCCACCATCATCGACAACACCCTCCCTCCCTTTGTCTCCTTCATTCTCCCAGGCCTCCTCGCGTCCTATGTTGGCGCGCAGATCACCGAGGACGCCAACCCCATCGCGTGGGGATTCGCCGAGCTCGCGGGCAGCTGCCTCGGTCTCCTCATCACGCTGCCGTTCGAGACGGTGCGGCGGCGGTTGCAGGTGCAGGTGCGCGGCACTGCAAAACCCATCAAGGGGTGTGTCGAGCTGCGACCGGCGCCGTACAACGGCGTCGTCGACGCGTTCTGGCATATTCTTACCGAGGAGCGGTCAGACCTTTCCATCACCTCGCAGAAACGAAAACGGCGGCTGAGCAAGGGGAAGGAGCGCGCGGGGGGCCAGGATCAGCCTCCGCAGGAAGAGCAGGGTTGGATGCGGAATACGGGTATTGGGCAGTTGTATCGGGGGCTTGGGATGCGGCTGGGGGCGAGCGTTATCATGTTTGCTCTCGCGCTGTTTAGTGGCGGAGACGAGGCGGATGGTGGGTGGGCAGAGCTGTGATATCTCTGTGACGAATAACGAAATGAACTGCTCATCAAAACTCTTGTTCGCTGAGTAATTTTCAGGAGGTAAGACACTTCATTGGAACTGTTTTTCCCGCCTGTATCAAAATGCCTGAAACTCAGTGTATGGGAAAGTGTACGGTGTTCACGAAGACGACGAAGTTTACAAACATTCGACAGACTTTCCAACGCAACGTTACGTCCATGCGGCATCGACCATTGAAGTCGAACAGGTCAATGAGAAGGAAGTGGGCGCGAGACAGACATTCAACCTGACGAATATTTCGGTTTGCTTTCGGGGATATCTTGCTGTAAGACAGAATGTACGGGACATTAGAAACTGGAATTCGCCAAGCTGCTTGAAGATGATGTAGGACCATTCCACTTAGGTATCATAGCTGATTTGAGAATATTTAAGCCAGCAAGTGACAAAACCAAATTCCGACGATGTTTGTGAGACAGAGAAAAGCCATAGCTGAAGTTGATGTTGTAGGGAAAATGAACATAGCGCTGATTCAATTATTGGCATGTTGCAGCCCGAGCACAGACAAAAAATGTTCACCGTATTTTCAGAGTCAGTACACAAGGAATCTAGTGCTCCATTCTGCAATTGTTCAACCAACCGATCCGACTCGCATTTCGTCTTTTTTTTGCAACGTGCTATTGGTGAAGATCTCCCACGGAGTGTCGGCTCTGAATGTCTGGGGACTTCTGTTAGCGTAGAAAACCGCGACGCCGTTCCAGTACGTCGCAACTTCCATGGATTCTTCTCGGTGTCGACGGCAGCACTGTCGAGGGGTACGGCCATATCTCTTTGGTGCGTTTGCCGCAGGAGTCGCGGATCACCCAGCTAATAAAAGATGGCATAGTATTTGGCGGGGAACTTAAGTGTCATAAAAGCCTATCCCGTCGAAGTTGAGACCGCAGGCCAGGTCAAAGTCCCCGCGATTCCGCACGGCTGCGCAGCTAGCCCTCAAACATGAGCAGTTCTTTCATCCCGTTGTGCGAATTGGACTCGTAGATAGACTCAAGACGAAGACGTAGTCCGCGCCGAGGTGCCAGATGAGCAGACTGAACAACTTTGTCCACGCGGGCAGTGGGCACCGTAGTTGTAGAGGTTCGCGGCGATGAAGTAGGTCGCGGTGCCGTTGGCGCTGCTGCTACCCCGGAGGGTTGGAGTTCATGTACGACGAGGGACCGGAGGTGGAAATTGAATATGTCAGCGCGAGGAGGAACGCGCGCCATGCGAGACAGAGCGTGAAGCGTACGCGTCGGCTCTTGGGCCAAGCGCGTATGTTCTCGTAGTCGGTCGCATTCGGAAATGGTGAGCGCGGGGACGAGATGTAGATGGGCAGCGAGATGTATGGCTGTTAAGAGCAACTGATGGCGCCGAAGAATGAGTGAAGGACAGAGACGAAGGGTGAACGTCGCCGAGGCACGGCCAGGCCTTGTCGAGGCCAGAGGTGTGGCGGGAGCTTCCGTGTACATGTTATTGACATTGATGTGGACCCTTGTCAAAGGTTGTGTAGTGTAGTGGTTATCACTCGAGATTTTGAGATCGTCACGTGTGCCACGTGTTCAATATTACGTAATTCTCGTAACCCCGGTTCGAGCCCGGGCACGACCTATCTTTTTACGGTCACCTTTTAGCCTACTACACCCCCAGAAGCGCCCTGAGGGTTGCCAGAACCTTTTACCAGGTCCTGAGAGTTTTTTTTCTGGTGCAGGCGCCCGGCCAAACATCCATTGTTTGGTTGCATTTTATGAAGAGGTTGTGCGTTCGATTCTCGCGAGTCGCATTTTTTTTGGAGATGAATCGAGCCGTCGGACGTTTCTCCCTCAACTTCTGGCACCTTTGAACCCGGAACTCCGTTATAATAAAGATGCCGCAAATTCTTCTGTGCTGGCAAATGGTTCTGTACATGTCTTCCGTTTCTCTGGATACATCTCACCAAAAGTACGTCGACTAGCAAGCTTTGGGCCATCACACTCGATTTGTGATTTGTACTGCTCGCAAGTAATTTTTGCGGAATGCAATGGCTCGTTTTGTGTAACTTTCAGTTCACGACTCTGAGTCCCTCCGCAGTAGCACGCTAAGCGATTATGTGATCCCCAATCATTTTGTTTTGGGGACGGCCGTTTCCGGCCTTTTTCTTTCTCCATCATATGGCTGGTATGTTTTTGCGGACTCGACTTGTGCATGCTTAATTTTGGCCAGAAAAACCCATAACCATCGTTCCTTTGCTTTCGCGCGCCCTGCACCGAATTCGTTCCACCCCGCCTCGTATAATCGCGTCGCCTCCTACTCGTGCGCGTGCCCTTCCCTGCTTCCATTTTGCCATTTACCTTTCCTTACAGAGCCCCGTAGGGCAGCTGTCTCTCTCCTCATCCGCGTGGTGCCCTCTCCGAACGCGGTCTTCCCTCCGGAGTCTCCGAACCCGGTCACGCTCTCCGAATTCTTCGACCTTGACTGGGTAAATGACCCCGCAGCACGTCCAGAAATCCTCTTTCTGCAGCGCGAAAACCCCGCGCCAGAAGACTCGGCCATGAGCAGAATGCGTAATACGCAGGAGGCCCATGTCGCGTTTCCTGGCGGCAGAATGGAGGCGGACGACGAAGGTGGGCTGTATACCGGTGCGTCCTTTCGCTCTTGCACCTTTCTCTAATGACGCATTGCAGCCATGCGCCAGACGTGGGAGGAAATAGGCATCGACCTCGCCGAGAAAGACTATACTTGTATCGGACAGTTGGATGACAGAGAGATAACGACATCGTTGGGAAAGCGCCTTTTAATGATCCTCTCGCCTTTTGTTTTCCTGCAACTAACGCCCAACGCACCCCCTCCTGACCCAACCGTTTCAACCACCTTGCACTGGACCTCTCTGGCATCCCTCGTTTCTGCGCATGCGCCTCCCAGATGGTCCACCGTCGCCGTCGACGCTGCTTCTCGTCTGGCTCCCAAGCATTCCACCGCGCTGCGCCTCGTCGTCCAGGCATTGGTAGGCAGCATGGAGTTCCCCGCAATTATTGTGCAGCCTTCGTCCCTACCGTCCATCACCCCCGACGGCAAACCGAATGTCGATATTTTGGAAAAGGGTATCAGACCGCATAAACTCAAGCTCTGGGGGCTATCCCTCGGTATGACGCTCGACTTGATGTCGTACATGGTCCTACCGGAGCCCTCCTCGATGCGCGACAATTCTGAGTCTCATAAGAACCACTCGGGCTCGTCGTCGCCGATCTCCCCTATGGTACAGCTCCCGTATCAAACTGGCGCAGAGGGCATCCGTATGGACGTCGTCGCCCCTAGTTTGGCAAGCGTGTTTCCGCGTTTTTCGTACCCCGACGTCAATTTCTGGATATGGTGCGTGTTCTGTTGAAAAAAAAAATCGCCTGCTCATTCCAACTAGGGTGTTTGGCAAGCGGTACAGAGAGGTTGTCCGCGGATGGGAGGCCAGCGTAAGAGGTGGAGGTACGAATGACCGAAGGTTCGTCTCTTTCACATCGTTCACACTGCCATACTCAAGATGGATCAGAATAAACTGGTCAGGATCTGCGCTGAGCACATTCTATGCTGCAGTCCGCAAAGCTCTGGTCGTGGTCATTGTCGCGCGTGCATTGGGCATACTATTTGGTGTCGCGTTCGCCACCTGGTGGATATTTGGATAATAGACAATAGAACTCTTTATCCGCGTTTCAATCGTGTGCAGCTCATGTACCTGGTTTCCTTCATATTGTAACTTGTACGCACAACCAGGCGAATGTATTACAGTGGCAAGCCGCAAACCTCGCAATCAGTACCACCGTGCGCGTTCTCGAATGTACAGTGAGGACAGATTCTGATACCGACGCTGGACCCTGCTGCGGCTTGTTCTGCTGCAATCTGGTCGTAAACGTCCTGCGGGATGTCGTCGTCCATCGCCGAAGATGTCGGCTGAGCGGCTAGACGGGTATTAGAACAAGGAAAAATATAACAACAAGAAGAACATACATCCAGTCTCCCGCGTGAACGTCATCAGCGTGCGCCAGCCTTCAGTTGCCAACAGTGGATCCAATTGACTGAGGTCCTCCAGCAGGTTCGGTGACGTTACGACGCGCATCATCACCTTCACGTCCTCCTACAGAAAAATGTTAGGTAGGCCTTCAAGTCAATAAAAGAGCCAACAGGAGAGAACAACTGCGTCGTGTCCAGGAAAGCAACCAGATGCCAATCGCTCAGCCACGCTGCTAACTCCCTCCGCTTGTGGGCATCCCCGGGTACGGCATGCCGACTGTCGGGGATATTTGGCGCATCTAGTTGCGCGAGCGTGCTGATTACGCTCTCCACGCGCTGATCCTCCAAACCAGGTCGGTTCTCAATCGCAAACCTCGAAGACTGGAAGAGAGGCGACGGATTCTGCGGGAAACCGTGTGTCACCTGCCGAATAATCAGGTTGTAAATTCGTAAACTTGAAGACTCGCAAACTGACATTAACCATGAGATACTCAACGGGGAACGCTGGCTTGGCGGTCTTCTTCACCTCGAGGCCGTACTCGTTCTTGAAAGTGAAAAAGACGTCGGGCACATATCTGGCAGAGTCTTGTGTTCGATCCTCCTCCTTTACTCGAACGATGCCCGGGTCAACGCTCGCTTCTATCATGTCTGCCTCGACCATGGCACAGGCCTGTTCGGAAACCTGGTACGCCGCAACGTCTACCTGCCCATCCTCAGTTGCAGTGAGAATTGCGGTGACCAGCCGTGAAGCGAATTGACCGGTGGGGGACGACTTGGAAGGCATCGGGTTGGCTCTTTGCATCGTAGCAGCAAAGATTGCTTCCAGCGAAGACATGTAGAAAGACCCAGGATGCCGCTTGTAGGCGTTCTTCGACCGATCTTCCTCCGTTGGTGTCAAATCGGTGAAGATATACCCCACTACAGTTAACGGGACCGACGCCGACGCCGACAGTGCCCGAATACGCGGCTCGTCCTCCCACGGTAAACCCAAAGTGAGGCCATCGAGGTCACCCTCTTGTGGAGGTTCGTAAATGGCTTCGACTACAGCCTTCACACCCATGGGTACTTTGTCGTACGGCTCGTACCGCCCAATCAGCCAACCGAAACGTTGGAAACCAGTGGTCCGCCAAGCGTGCAGAAAACGGTCGATCACGTTCGTCGAGGCAATCTCGAGATGGTCGACCATTCGGAAAGGCTGCGACTGCAGAGTTATAGCAGAGGGTTGGCAGGACGTGCAGATACCGGCAGGCCATGGAGGGTGGCCACTGGGACACGGCACCTTCACTTTGTAGGAAAGGGGAGTGAGCGGCGGGAGAGAAGATGTGGCAGACGCGGTCTGCTTGGGGGTGATTTTCTTCAAATATGCGTGGTAGGATAGATGCTTGATCGCGTGTTCCTTGTGGTAAAGAGCATTGTATGGTTCAAGAGGCATACAGTAATCGCACATTCCGTTTAGCGCGTGAGTGCAGAACCGAGCGTCCCGGCCTCGAGGGATTTTGCCGTCTTGGGATCTCCAATATACGTCCACAGGATCTTCTTTCACAGTCTCCCATATCCGGGTCTCCGGGCCAGTGGCAGCGGGAGCGCTGCTCGGCTGAGCGGAAGAACTAGCAGAAGCGTCCTTGGATTTATAGTTCACAAAAACCAGATCAGTGTGCCTGCACAAGCATTAGACGCGTTCCGAATGTGCTAGATGATTGGATACTTGAGACCCAAACTATCCAACGATCGACCTTTCAAGCTCAAAAATTGCGCTTCATTTCCTCGGGGTTGGTTGGATATGGTGAAAGTCGATGGGTCAGCATTTATGGCCGTTTCAAGAATCTAGAACGTTCATCGGTTTGGGATTGGCTCTTGTTTTGTAATTGCACGAACTTTGGCAAGCAACTCTGAAATGTCGGCTGTGGGCGCAAGCTCAAAGCGAAAATTTCCGTCGGGGGATCTGACTCTGAGAAGCTTGGATGTCCTCAGGATGGGTTTCCGCTTGCTGGGGGAACGAAAATCACGTACCATGGTGGAAGTAAGAGTCAAGGATAATTGGGACGCGTCATGGTGCGGCACAGCCACAAGCCGGCGTTTCTTCAAGACGCAATCATGGCCTCGGTTTTGCAGCTCTTGACTCTTCCAGCACATTCCAAGGGCTTCACAGCTATCCCCAATTCAATAACTGTTACTGGATCTCATCCCCCTCCCCTTCGCGATGACTCCGACTCGCCAAGAGGCTCAACCCGAGCAAACCAGCCTATCAAAATCCAGGTTATCGGGACAACGACCCAGCGCAAAGCGCCCAAAGCTGCTCTGAGCCTCCAGCAATGTATCAGGCGGCTGTTAATGCGCGAGAATGAAGGTGGCCTACCAGCGACTTTCGAGGCCATTTACAGCGAATGTTACTCGATCGTCTGTGTTTTGAACACGGGAGAAGGGCTATACGCGTCCTTGAAGCTGGAGCTGGAGCAGGCTATCAATTCCTTATGCAAAGAACTTCTATCCGTTCCCAAAACGATCCCTAGTCCCAAACCTGGTACCGAGTCCGATGATGCCGATGTCGCAGCTGCACAAGTCGCAGGAATATGGGTTAATCAATTCGTTGAGGCTTGCAAGTGGTTCGAAGAGAAAGTTGTAAGCACGCGTCG